GCAGAAGCTAATGTGAGTCTAGCCGCTGGGCAGGATGCTGCTTGTCTACCAGCGTTTCAGTGCAACCTGGGTCATTTTATTGAGTTCTGTCGCTGGTCATCAAAGAAGACACAGCGCCTGTAGCGAGGCAGCTGTCACAGAAAGTGAATAAAGACTTTCTTTTTTTTCTTTTGGCGAGCTGGCACTTTCTGTCACAGTTTTGGACTCTTGACACTCTTGTCATTAAAAGCACTATTCATTGATTTGAGCTGCTGACAAAGGAAACCTGACAGTTTCTGTGGCAAACGTTAGCTGATTTATTTTATTTTATTTTTTTTGACTGGAGCTGGTGACAAGTAAGTCACATAAATGGTTCTCGTTTAATTCTGAATGCAAACTAATGCATGCTCTTTAATCATCTCCACCCTATAATGTCCTAAACATCAATAGATTCATCTTACAATTCAACTGTCCAACTTTACCCTGAAAGCGGGTTTGCACCTACTTTCCATATTAAAGTTGCATTCAAATTTGCTTTGTTCTGTATTTTGACTTCATTTAAAAACTAAAAATCATCCAGTAGCTGCAGGATAAGATGGAACTCTATCCCTCTATGGAAATATTAGAGCAAGATACTCTGAACGGACAAAAGGACACAGGGATCTGTGTGGTATTAAGTTACAAGGCTGCATTGTCCTTATGTGTGCTGTATGTTCTTATTTACAATTTTGATTTTATGTAATATTTTGCACTTTGAAGGTTTAGTACAATTTGGGAGATGACAGTGAGTTTCTCTGTCTTTTGCAGACACCTTTTGTCCACACACAAAAAAATTAAAATTAAAAAATTAAAAATTAAAACCCGAAAATAGAAAAATAAATTCCTTTTCCAAAATCTTTTCTAAACTTTCCAAACCCAGCACAGCACAGAGGCGTCATCTATCATACCGCAGCACCAGATTACTAAAGGATAAACCTACAGTAATGATACAGATTTATAATCCTTTGAGAGGCAACTGGATTGCATCAGTATAACACTATGAAATCACAGAGATTATTCCCATCATTAGCTGCATTATTAGGAACATGATATCACTTTAAAACTGCCAGAAAGCCTGTGTAGTTGGATTTTCTGTAACGCTGACATTTACTGGCTGAAGGCTTCGTATTGACAGGTCACCTTACTGAGCAGCGGAGTCCCAGTGACGTCAGCAGTGAGAGAGGGAGCACCTTGGGGATCTTTAACCCTCGCTTGCTTCAGGTTGCACTCAGTGGAAACCAATCCTTCCTGCTGTGAAGTCAACGCACTGACTGTTTTAGCTCCAAATCTCCACTAATTTTCCTCTTGGATGCCTTTTTTTCCCCCCTCCTTCTCTCTTTTTCATCTCAGTTTAGCATCATATATTATCGCACTTAGCCCCGGGAATTGTGGGGTTTCCTTCCTATTTATTTCTGGATGGTGTCCATCTAAGCAGATGCTGCTGGCTCCTCCTAGAGCTCCAGGCCTCCCGCTCTGTTAGACGGCTGGGCGTCCCACAGCAGTCAGGCTGCCCTGACTCTTGCTGCTTGTAGAGCAAAACGGGAAGCAAAGCCAAGCGTAAATGAAGAGGAGTGTGCCATCTAATTAGAACCTGTTCGGCCTTTGGAGAAATATGCTGAAAAATACATGTATTCCTTTACAGTTTTTTAGATAGTTTCAATTAGTTTGCCTTGTTATTCTGCTGCTGCCTGAGTTTCAGCCTCAAGGCAATTAAGGTCTGTGTTGTGAAAGGTGTTTGTTCACCCAACACACACACACCACCTCACATTCCTTCCCTTTTGTTTGCTCAAACTGGCTTTTGCATTCGTGTGTCTGTGTAGGCACGAGTTTCTGTTTCTGAAGTTGGAGTGATCTGCCAATTAGGACGGTACAGTATCATCCAGAAGAATGTCTCAGCCTCCAACAATGGCACAACACACACACACACACACACACACACAGATACACACTGCACACTTGAAAACAGCCAGTCCTCTGTGTGTGGTCTAAGCTGCCTCCCCTGTGCCTCGAGTGCAGCTGAAGAGACAGACGGGAAGAGAAGAGATGAAGTGTGAGAGGTGCGATTTCTTACACCTTCACAGAAACAACAGGTCGATCTATCGCAAACACATGTCCACACACTCCTGCTCTAACAAGTCACTGTAGTTGTTTAGCGCCTGCGTGTTCAACAAACACAAAAAAAGGTAGACAGACTCTTTTGTTTTTGTTCCCATATGCATGATGCATAAAAACTCAAAACAAGTCACCTTGCCTCTTGCAGCACTGTGTCGCCAAACAGGAAGTGGCTGAAGCGTTAAAAGGCTGGAATCAAAATGGCCCATGCAGGGTTGTTGTTCGACATCTTTCATTATTAATTCATTCTTGTATTGATTGTGTATTCATCTGGAAGGGAAACGGAGGAGAGCTGATGTCTGAGGCAGCTATATTAGCCTAGCGTTTCCCCTCCTCTCCTGTTTCCTATCTGGAAGGCTGCTGGGGCACAGGGAGGACGCAGGATCAGCTGAACTGCTACTTTGATACGAGCGTATCAAACACGGCTGATGAGAAAAACAAACTGGCAGAAAGGACAAGAGGAGGTGCCGACAGATGTTTTATGTGACCTTAAATCATTGTATGTGACCCTATAAAGACAAGAAGCTCAGTAAAAAAAAACTAAACATAACTGCACACTAAATATGAAGCCTCAGCCAGCAGATGGATAGCTTAGCATATCCTGGTTCTGCCTACCACCACCTCCACAGTTTGTCTGCTTAATCCACAGAAAAAACCTAAGAGTGAAAACGACAAAGTTGCAGCAATATCCTCCTGGAGTCCTGCACCAAAGCTGAAGTAGAGCCAAGCTAGCTGTTTCCCTAGTCAGCAGACTTTGTGCTAAACTAAGCTAAGCTAAGCTAAGCAGCTTCATATTTACCTTGCAGACATGAGAGTAGTAACGATTCTCTCTTCTGACTCTTACCAGAAAGGAAACAGCATGTTGAACCACTTTACTCATGTGTTTAAAGGTGGGAGGGGCTCCACTATATGGTTTCCCCAATATCTGTGCAATATTTCACTCAACTTTTTTTCTTTTATTTCCACTATTTTTTGATTTCCTGATTGGCTCGTATTAATTTATCCTCCACTTTTGTGACTTGACATGAAAGCAAGAGTTTTGATATTTACTTTGTTAGAGTTAGATGAGAAAATTGATACCACTCTGCTGTCTGTATGGTAAAAGCCTGTTAGCTTAGCTTAGCATAACGTCTAAACAGAGGAAAACAGCTGGCTCTGTCTAAAGGTGGAATAATCTGTATACCAGCAGCTCTAAAGCTCACTAACTGACACCTCATATCTTATATCTGTACAAAAACTAAGCGACTGAGTCAAGCTGTTTCCAGTATTTTTGCTAAGCTACGCTAACTGTCTGCTGGAAGTAGCTTCATTTCTACGGTATATACACATGAGCGTGATATTATAACTCCCAGCAAGATAGCAAATAAGTGTATTTCCCAAAATGTTGAACTATTCTCTTAAATACTTCTTGCACTGGTCTTATATTGGTGTTATTCTCTCCATATTTCATTAGTAATAGATCTACAAGAATAATGTCAAATGTCCTTATTTGAGTGGAGGAAGGAAAGTAAATCTTGAATAGATGTCGCTCCTTTGAGCACAGTGGGTTGTTTCTTTTAGTGCCACTGAACAGACCACTCCACAGGGATGTGAAACAATACAAAACGCCCATGCATGTCACACGTTCGATCTTTTGGAGGGAGGAGGGGAGGAGGGGTTGAAAATGGACAGTGAAACTGCTCCTTTGGCAATGCTGTGAACGCTTCTCCAACACAATCCCTTCAAATCTGCAGCTGCTCGACCAAATCATGAATTTGGCCTCATAAATAAACTCTAAACTGGAGTTGTGGTGTATAACAGATGAGTGTATGGGCTAATTTGCTATCAGATTGCTTCACCGGGAGACTGAGAGTGTGTGAAGCTGCTCTGAGAGGCTTTAGTCTGGGATAACACCAGGTAGCTGATAGCCTGTTACTGTATAATCACTGCAGGTTTTGACTCATTTGCAATCCCTGCCTGCCTGTGAGCGACTTGAGTGTATCAATTAAAGATTCATCGGAGGCAGTACACACACAACCAGAGATCTGGATTAAATATTCATTGGGAAGATGTTGGTCAGGATCCTATGGAGCATTAACTCTTAACTATTCCAGTGCATATCAGGGCCGCTGGCATAAACATGGCACATTATACCAGCAGGCTGCAGCAGGGGTGGCTTTAGGACATGGACTGTATAAAACAACCGAAACATCACACACATTTCAGCATTTCTTCATCTGCTGAAATTGGCTGCTTTTGCCTTATCCTTAAAATTGGCTTTGTCTCATCTCAGGGAGGTTCTGACTCATCGCAGACCTTGCAGCCTCCCATGGAAAAAAAAAAAAAAAAAAATGAAGAGGATAAGAAAGGACACACGACATTTCCTGAGTAGTAAAGCACGCAGCCGAGTGAGTTTGAAAAATGAATTAGGGCCTGTAGCCAGAGGTTTCCACCACTGCTACATCAAGTAACATCCAGAGTTATTTTTAGCATCCCGCCGCCTTGTCAGACTGGAGGAGAGAAGAAAATCCCCCCCCTCCTCCTTTAACAAGAGGAGGCCAGTGGGAGGCTGCGGTATGTTTGGGGAGTGAAGAGAGGCAGGTATGATCACCTTACCGAGCCCTATATGGGTTTATGTGCGAGGACTGAGATGTGGTGGTGGTTAAACCCCCCTGAACTCACCTTTACACTGACATGAGCCGTTCTCACATGAATCTTAAACACAAGTAACAGCATCACAGGTGTGTGTGTCAAGAGGGTTTTTTTCATGGCGAGAAGGCAAAAATGATGATTTGCTGAGCTTGTGTTTGGAATTTGGTTCCTATTACTTTTGTTTTCCAGCCTATCTACCACCAAACCTCTGCTCAGATCTCAAACATCTGTGTGCCTACCTGAATTCAGGGGCCAGGTTGGGCTTCAGGCCATAGAAAGCAGCTGATAAGGTCAAAAGCCACCGGGGAACAAAATTCCCATTTTCACACTCCAGGTAGGGCGCAGACCATTTGACATGTGTCTTGTCCGGGATAAAACTCTCTCCTCTTTTTAAAGAATTGTCAACTGATGTGAAGTCTTGGCTCAGCACCCTCTTATGGAAGCCGGGCTTCTTCCTCTCTTTAACTTCGTGGTACCACTCTGTGTCTGCTGTGCGGTTGTGCAGATAGTGGTGGGCAGTGCTGGACAGGTCTTGGAGGACTATCTCTCCACCGGCCCTGGTGGCTTGGAGAAGCACCGAGGGCCCCGTCACGGATGGATCCGCGCTGAAAGTGACAACCGCCCGGTGAATCTTGGCGTCTCCCTCCAGTATACTCCTGACTAAGGCATGGTACCACTCAATGTCTCGCCGGAGACTGTGCTCCCTGGACCTGTTGGCTTGCAAGATCATGTTGAGGAAGTTTGTGGCGTGCAGCACCGTATCCAGCACGCTGCCCATGGAGTAATGCGGAGTGGCGTGTGACCTTCCCCGCAGAGAGGTGAGCTCGTACCTCCGCGAGCAGTTGGCGTGCTTTAAGGTGGTCGAGTCCCCCGTGTGAAGAAAAGCGGTGACCACCCTGGGGAGATGCTCCTCTATTTTTTGCGCCAGCTCCGCCGTCTCCCCGGGTGGGTGAAGAGGCGCACGGAGATGCGCCAGCTGCCGACGGTGCGTCTGAGCGCCGTAAATCGCCTCCTGTGTTCTGATATCTTCCCCATGCGCGGACCATTCCGCGTATTTATGGTTTGATCCGATCACAAATCCCACTTGCAACAGCAACGACAGCCGGAAAACAGCCATCTCCCACCAGAGAGAGCGTCCACAGATGTTTGTGGGATTGCTGCTCGGAATTACAGTGTCGTCGGGCGGGCGTGCTGTAAAAAAAATAAAAAATCTACCAAATTGCTCCGCTAAACCATCGCTTCACCACTTGTAGGATATTCTTGCAAGCTCCACGCCTCTGTTCTGGAAACCAAAGAGAAAAACGTGAGGAACCCCCTTGCTGTCCTCGTCAAATCCCTTCTTCTTCTTTACAGATGCCTCATACAGCTTGTTGATGTTGAGTATCCGCTTGCAGCTGTTTCCCCCCACCTCTCTCTCTCTCTCTCTCTCTCTCTCTCTCTCTCTCCCTCTCTCTCTCTCTCACTGTAGACAAGACTGTCTTGGCTTTGCTGTGCGGCGGACGTTCTCCTTCTGCGTGTAGGCTACATAGACTGAATCAAGCCGAGGAGGAAGGGAGGGGTAAGGGAGCAGGTTATTATTATATTTATATATATATTTTTTTTTAGGAGGCACCGAGTCAGGGAGCTTCTCACTTGGTTGACAAACGCACTCCGCCCTCTTCCGACCACAACAAGCATTAAGTAAGCCTATACAAGCCACGAAGAGACGCATCGGGAGCCGAGCGCCCTTAAAGCCCGTCTTCCTCATCGTTTCATAGGGCTCCAGAAGCGCCATTGATCCGCGTATGGCCGCTTCTTCTGTCAATCACGGAGCAGCGTTTGGTGGAGCGGTGAGGGAGCTGTCCGGTGCTGAAGCTGATGAAGCGGTTAAGGAGCTGTCCAGTGCTGAAACTGATAGAGTCAGCCTCGGCTGGTTTATCCGAATTAAGGCTTAATTTAGATCAATCGATCGAAGTCTCACATCGGTATTTAAAAGTCGTTTCCCTCTGTTGATCACGTTGAAAACAAACCTTGAATTTTCCAATCTATAGGTGCTAATAATAATGGGCTTAAGCATGTATTCTTTTATATTAGACATACTACACTATGTGGCCAAAGGTATGCGGACACACATGTCCATGTACTTTCATGTGCTTTGTTCTGGGAAACCATCAAAACACAAAAGTAAGGAACAAAATTAAAGAAATGAGATGTGTTTGTCTTATTTAACTGCATATATGACAACAAGATATGTAGTCAAAGGTTTGTCCATGTGGTTTTTGGTCGGGGCTGTTTTTTCATGGGCTGAAGATTTGGCTTCAAAGCTTAAGCATCTTTCTGAGTCATCACTACTGTGTGGGTGTTGGTTTGATCACATTTGATTGACAGTAACCAAACAACAAAACAACAATAATCAGGTTCTGAATCAAATGTTGCTAAATCCCGATTGGTGCACACAAGAACATGACATCACCTTTTTCCAACTGAGCCTCACCCCCCTTCAAAACAGAAGAAAAAAAAAACATAATTTAAAGTTGAGAAATATAAGCATTCAGGGCATTTAAGGCAAATCGTAGTGCTACAGCACCTGGTGGCAACAACATTCCTATGTGAATGTGACAGCACCCCCTGACATAAGGCAAGAGCTACAAAGGAGAAAGGTTTTCTGAGAGTGTTGCGGAAAAAACTTCCCGACCTCAACCCCATCCAACACCTTTGGGAAGAACTGGGACACCAACAGCGAGCCAGGCTTCATCAACATCAGTGGTTGACCTCATGAACACTCTTGTAGCTGAATGGGAGCAAACCAAATAAGCTGAAGAGAAACAACAGAGCAGTGGATGTTTTTATATGTTTGTAATGTTCGGGTGTCTACAGAGTTTGTTTGGAAGTTAAGATACTTTCTGTTTCATCAAATGCTGTGTAACAAAAAGAGTTAACCACCAAGCAAACTATAACATACCAATCCTTAATCATGGTACTAGCATAGTAGTCTTTGTAGGCAACCAAACCTCCATATCCTGATGGCAAGGTGATCTATTTCTTTACTTTGTCACCGAGCTATCAAGAGTCTTTCTCTCTCTCTCTCGTTCTTGTTAGTTCAAGCTCTTGGGTTGTTCTCTTTCTCTCTTTCTCTCTTCCTCTCTTCCTCTCTCTCTCTCTCTCTCTCTCGCTTTCTCTCCTGGGTGTAGGGGCATGTCACGTCACGCTGTGTGGGCTTGAGGCATCTCGTCCTGGAAGCAGGGTGAGGGAAGACAGGCGTGACGAAGGGTGACAGAGCTGGGAATCGGCCTGCACGCTGCATGGGCCGTCGGGGGAAGCTGCGAAGTTGGAACTTGAAGACCTCCTGGATTTCTTGACCAACCTACAGCCGCATCAGACGCTGTTTGCTTGTCTTATATTGAAACCTTGATATGTGCAAGCAAACGGCCCGAGACAGGAAACCCAACAGTTGCTCTACTTGCAACACTCTGAAGAAAATAATTGGGAAAACTTTGAAATTGACTCTGCACTTCTGTCCGTGTCTGTCTGACAGCATTCATAAGTCAGATTGCTCGCGGTGCAGAAGGAGTGGGCTGCATTGTGGAAGAAATAAAAGTGGCTGCTTTCAATTTTGGTCAGTCAGCGCAGAGCTCTGCATCAGTAGATATCAGAAGCATCAAACTCATATGTGCATGTTTGCAGACATTAAGAATTGGAGCTTATTAATAATTAAATATGCATGTGTGAATTTAAAGTGGCTCTCTCTGTAGCTGATTTTGATACACCACAGCATTCTTATTCCTGTCTCTCATTGTCATTGCTGTTCATGTCTCATTAATCTTGTGCCTATATACGCCTGTTGTCGGTGAGCATGTATGCTTATGCGTTGTAAGGTTTAATATGACAGGATCCATTTATTTCCTGCCTTGTCCATCAAGAAAAGCACCAAATATTGTGTAGGAAATATAATATGGCGATCATTCCTGCCAAAATGACTCAGAGAACAAAAATTAAACCCCTGTGAAATCCTAAATAATCTGTAAGTCAGGATGATGATGATGATGATGATGATGAAGGTAGATATAGCACCTTCTTTTGAGGTGTGAACCATCTGCAGGGACAGTCGGTTCTTGATGTTAATACGCTGCCAGTTGGAGACTATGATGAATGTGTAATCATGACTAGTTCCTGAAATTGAGAAATTGTGATGCAGCTTAATTACACACAGTTTGAAAAAAACCGGAAGAGACTATTAGATTATTATTGCCACAAGTTTATAAAAGTTTTGATTAGTGATTATTGTGGGAGATCTGCTCTTCACGGATACACATTATCTGGATGAGTTCATATAAAATATAAATAATATTCTTAAAAAAAGGACAGATTCGAGTTCGTCATTGGTACGTTAACTTGCATTTTGTATTAAAATAATCAGTGCGATTTTCTTTGATGCAACCCATTCACACATTTTATTGTTAATGCTCATGCTCATGTTGTCATTATAATCATTTAATGAACAGTTCAAAGAGTAATTGACTTCACAGTATGACTTTATGAGTCATCTCCATAATCATCAGTGATCAATTGCTCACACTGCTGCCAATAAAAATACAATACCATTACTTATAAAAATTGCCCATTTTATTATGATTGCAGGTTTTTGGGGGTTGAACAGTATATTAAAGGAACTATTAGTAAGTTTTGCTATTGCTACATAGCCAGCGTTAGCATTAACAGCTGTTTACCTACCAATCTTAGCAAGAGCTTCAGCCATTGTTGTGTTTACAAAATAAGAGGTTATAATACGCCCACTGAGCAGCACTACTTCTTCAGGGCAGACTGGACGCTACAGTGACTCAGTATTGGAAAGTGACAAAACGGGCTAAATGGGCCAGAGCTAGCTGGTTAGCATGCTAACTTGAGAAGAAGAAAAGAAGTGATAGAAACAAAATCTTCAACAAAAGGAATGAAGTTTGATGCTGAACTCGCAATGTTTCCTCTAGACTGGTAAGTAAACAGATGTTAATGCAAAATTGGTTTGATTGAATTGATTTGATGAATTGAAATGCCAGTTTCATACTATAAGCTTAGCAAGAGCACACAAAGTAGTCACACAATTCAGTATAAAACAAGACTTTATTGTCATATATAAAACACTAAGCGCTCCATTGAACCATAGGTTTATTATGACATAACCTACAATTAACTATGATTGAAATACACAGCACTAAATAAGTAAATAGCTTTTTACCGCTTCTCATTCCATTCAGCTCATCAATAAAGACAAAGACAAGAAAATGAATATAAAAAAGGATAACTTGCATTATACTATACATCTTCATCTACTATAAATATTTTAACTAAAGGCTTAATTTAATTTGAGTTCTTTGGTATTAAATTCAGATTTTTAACGTACAAAAACTGTAATATGTTTTATACTTTAAAACCTATTTATACTCACTTCTCAACAGCTGACACTTGATGACACTTGATTTGAAAAGTGTCATTCTGAAAAAATGTTTTATTATGGGATCTGCAAGTAACTACCTACTAAAATGCCTGACTACTAAAGCATGATTGTTGTTATAATTTGCTTATTTTCAATTTCTTGTCTTCGCTTTCGTCTTTATCTGAGCAGCACGAGATTGATGTCAGAAATACTGGGATGAAAACGAGGCCGTGAACCATCCCAATAAACATGACAAGAAAGAAGAGCTTAAAGAACGTTCTGAATGTGTGAAACTTGGACGTAGCCAACACTGACACCCCTAAAATGGTGGACAAGGCGCCTTGGAGTATGGGATAGCCTAGATTGGAGAGAGCGTCCACAGCCTTGTCATCGGGACTCTGTTTGTTACTGGAGACGAAGGCGTAGGAGATGTGAGCTGAGAAATCGACAGTGAAACCGATGCAGACGGTAAAAATGATCATGGATATGGAATCAAGACTGACATCCCACAGCACCATAAAACCAGTCACCCCCGCAGTCACTGAACCAATCGAACAAGTCACCCATAATGAGCAGATGGGGTTGGGAATCAGCAGGAGAGAGACGACCAACATCACAGCTGTGATCACGCCGACGTTCTTAATCGTGCTACTCACCACTACGTCGTACTGGTCCATGAAGATGAATTTTTGGTTATAGACTGATAAAGACGCTGCATGGCATCTGCCTGCAGTGGTTCTAAGAACGTGAAGCATTTCCATTTCCATGCTGGCATTGGCAATATCAACAGTCTGGATGAAGAAGCGGGATGCGTAGATGGCATCTCCGGTGAGGTTCACATCTTGCTTTAAAAAAGGATATAAATCAAAAAAATGAGAAAGATTTTTCAGAAATACATCTTTATCATCAAGGTTTAAATGTCTTTCTTGTCCATATGACAAATAAGAGTCCAGCCAGGATGTGTAGACATCTTTATCTACAAACTGAAGCCGTGCGAAGTCCTCTATGCATCCCTGGAGTTGGAACCTCCTGGTCTCGTCCCAGTATGGGAATTCCTCACTTACAATAACCATCACAGATGGACCGTAATCAGAAAAATGCTGCCTATCTTTCCTATTGAAAATTGTAACGTGGGACTTATCAGCTGCCAGATCGTAAAGCTCAATCCCCTGCTGTACGTGGAAACACCCATAAATACTTATGGTTAAATATACCAAATAAAGGAAGATTACAGCTGCTTTGACCCAAGGTTTGATCAAAAATGGGCCGTAGTAATCCTTGAAGAAATTACTCGCCGGTTGTTTTTTTTCTGCTCCAGTGTTCTTATCATAGTCGCCTCCCACGCAGCAGATGTTGTACATCTCAGAACAATCATCAGGATTGTCTGATGGTATTTTCACGCAGGTCAGCCAGTGTCTGTTGCTGGCTTCCCGCCTCCCGTTCAGAGCCAGGAAGGCTCCGAAGAAGGTGATTGTGTAGACGTAACAAAACATGATGGAGGCGCTGGTGTACAGGCAGAACGACTGCACCGATGGGAAGTCGGACTTGACGCCTATGGAGAACTTGAGGACATCGGTCACGGCTGTGATGGTGATGGACATGATAGCTTCTTTGTAAGTGTGAGCCATCCGCTTCGGCACTGGGTCTTCCACGTTGGTGTGCTGCCAGTCAGACACCATTATGAACATGTTGTTGAGGCCAATTCCTGGAAAAAATTGTAAAAGATTTAAGCTAAAAGTTAGTGGTTAACAATTTAAAGCTCTACAAAAAACCACTGGGGCGTTTCGTGTGCACTTAATTTACTTGATGGATGTTGCCGTCCAATCTACAACCTTAAACTACATTATGAAACAAAAAAGGCCAAGGCCGGTTTTTCTCACCGAGTATTAGGAAAGGAGAGTTTGCAACTGTAATAACAAATGGCACTCCGATGTAAAGCAACAAGCCAAAGGAGGAAAGTACAGCCAGCCCAGAGGAGAAGACGCCGAAGACAGCCACCCACACCTTGTTCCTCACATTGTCCAATCTGTCAAGGAAGTAAAGATAGGATGGTATTCTTAAACAGACACGTGCACGTACATAATAAAGATAACAGCATACAGTAACCAATGGACTATTTTTCCAGAATTTCATCTCAACTCATTTTTGGATATCACAAATGAACGAACTTGATGTGTGGTCGGCTGTGGTCAGAGGTGTGCTCTGTTGCACCTTTAACCACACCCAACAGTGATGTCACAGCGTCCTGACACACCCTGCGCAGAGTACACTTATACATCCCCACTGAACAGTGAGAAGTTTAACTTTTGCTTTTAATGGTAAAATGCACTGATAGCCAAACAATCAGCAACATAAAATAAAGACTGTGAGTTACACAGCAACCTCTGTGTAAAGTTTGCTAACGTTAGCGAACACTATATCAAGTAAAACTGTAGCAGTAAAACTCCTGAGTGTATTGAATAGAGCAAGAGCACATTTTGTTTTCTTATGAATTTAACTTTTCATTTGCAAGAGGGTTTAATGTGCCATTTGTTCTTCATAGAGTAAAATAGCTTTAAAACCCACCATCAAATCTTTAATTTACAGTAATAAAAACAAGACTTCTGGGAGCAAAATAATAGCAAGACCTGTAATCCAGTTTAATAGTGTCATTAAAACTACCTACCGTGTGTGAAACTTAATGTTCAAGTTATTGCACAACTCTGTAGTTTATGATACGTTCACAGTCGAGCTGTTGCAGACAGCAGACAACAACTGTATATGAAATGCTCTAATCTACACCTTACAGAAAACTAAATATAAACCAAAACCTCTAAATCTACTTTAAATTTTAAATAAAAATGGAGAATTTTTAAGTTGGAATAATTGTGCTAATGCTAAAAATTGGTATATCACTACATGTGTAACGTGTATATGGCTTTCCTGTATCAAGTCGCACTGATAAACAACATCTATCTGTGTCCCGGACTTGGCCTGCAGTCAGGAAATCGCTCACTGTCTGACAGCCACTGATCACTTCTTACCTCAGGCAGGATATCACCGAGAAGGTGATAGCACTGGCATAAGTGATGAGGAATAAAGGGAAGCCATCTGTGGTGTGACTGTCAATCTCCTCCTGCTTGGATTTGGAGGTGTAGTAAGACACCTACAATAGAAAGAGGCCCAACGTGAGCACTTGAGTCAGAGAAAAGTGTTTACACATGGATGTCATGACCGCAATAAAACCAGCGTGACACAGCTTGGATTTCATGACAAAGCAATGTGCTTGCAACCTTGCCAGCAACATTATCTCAAAAAGGAAGTGTAAAGACCCAGCGGGAGCAGGAAGGCCATAACTAATATGTATAGAAAATGCATTTGTATCATTTTGTTACACTCTACTTATTATAGAGACTCAGCTAATATTGTCCATTTTTGTGGTGTAAATATAATCAACGTGTTATCTTTTTTTATCTCATCTACCTCAGTTGGTTATTTTCTCCAATTCCCCTAAAGACTTTCCACACACCTGAACATATTGTGTTTGGATAAGGGAGTGTGTGTTTGTTGAACATAAACTCCCCCTCAGGTGGATAAAACCCCACCACATTCCCAGAAGCAATACAAAAGAAGACATAAACTAGGTCAATGACTATATTGTGCTGGTTATAGATTTTACACGCAGATGCATAGAGCAAAAAAAAGAAAGACATAAAACAGGCTCATTCTGTAGATACAGACAAGGGACATAAAACAGAGCAAGAGGAGTTTTCAGGTCAAAACAACTATCCAAATGCCTTGTGGCTGCATTGCATTGTGGTATAATGAGGATAAATGCTGATATTTGCTAATATTTTCCATTTTGATATTTGTCCTTGTACAGCCCTGATTGATTAAAGGTGGATTTTTTTTTTCCATCCAAAACCAGGTCAAGCTGCCAAGAGTAGAAGTATGCAAGAATCAGCACTGTGGTGTTGTAATAGCTAACCTCCTTTACAGAAGCTTCCATACCCATTGGAGAGAATCGCAAGTTTTTAAAGCCTTGGATTTGTGTTAAGGTGGATTTTTCCTTGAAGGTCAAGGTCACTTACGTTAGTGAAGCGTCAACATCTATTAACTATGCGGTGCTTTTAAATGAGAGAGCTAAAGTCCAATCGTTTGTCCTTGTTAGTCATATTTTCCCGGAGCATCTGTAACTTAATGGGCTTCCTTTGACAAGCTGAAACATGTTCCAGTGAGTCTGAGCCACCGGTACAGTGTCAAAGCCTCATGGGACGTTTTCTAAATCTACAACCTAACCTAAATAAAATATGTGGTTTGTGGAGAGGGCACTGAAAAGGCCATTACACCATCACTTACAGTACAGTAGTAGATGCACTTTTAGCTTATAGCACATGCAGAGGAAACCCCAGGATGTTTCAGCAAGAAGAAAATACAGTATATTAGTAGCAGAATGATACATACATCAGTGTGTTTGCTGTCCGTCTCGTCCGATAAGAGTGCTTTAAAGCCTCTTAGCCATGATTTGGAGGCTTCAGATGCACTTCCCTGATTCTCCAAGTAGTAAAAGAGTTTTACAGCCCGAGCACTAATGACTGAGTCGTTGGCATCTGTGATGACCCCACCGAGCACAGAACCCAGACACACTGAGCTGGATCTGAATGTAGATACAGGGTAGGTGAAGCTGGTTTGATTGGCTTCGTTAGCGCTAACGATCTCCAGGACGTTGTTTGAGACACATTCTCCGTTGGCTTTTGCGCACAACTCATTAAATCCCAGTCTCCCATTGTCCACAGTGATATTGAGGATCTTATTGTTGAGTCTGACGATGTCCTCAAAGGCAGGGTTCGCCAGGACATTTGAATTGTCGGTCGACACTGCAATGAGGGATGCAAAGTTGCCCTTGTCGTACAGCCTGTCTCCTGAAAACATGGAGTCATTGTAGGGGAAGTTTTCCCTGACAAAAGCTCTTGTTGCCTTTGAGGGTCCTTTCGTGGGTGTGAATTGCTGCTCAAGGTCATTGTCCTCCCTGTCTTTGAGAAAAATGAAGCCTCCGCTGAGTGCCGCTGAGAGGAGAACAGGAATTACGAAAAAATAAAAAGGACAGGAGCCTACAAGTGATCCGAGTTTTTCAAAAAGGCCTGACAGAGGCTTGGCAAGGCAGTCTGTGCGTCTACAGCCCATCTTCAGACGTGCAGGACAGATAGTACAGATGTGGAAAGATTGCATCCTTTTAAAGGCTATGCAGATTACAACACTCTCTACATACCTTTTTTTTTTTTGAAAGGCCGTAAGGTGCAGATACAGTGATCTCCTTTGAAGTCTCATTAGCCAATGCGATGCTCCTTTATTACCCTTATACCTGGAAGAAAAACAACATGGAGAAGTACGCCTGTTTGGTGTTAGAGGTGATCTCATGCTTCTCAGTGGCTGTAAAATGATAAAACTTGGAGATAACTCAAACTTGTAGGACATAATTCAAAGTCTTAAACAGAGATATGATGCAAAAAAGAAAACGTGACTTTATTATAATTTACAGAAAATCACTGGCAAAGATGTGACATTTTATAGCTTTATGATACAAGCATTCACAGGTGTGTCATAACATAAGTAACTATATAACTAAATAAGTTTGTCATTCGATTGGCATTGCTTATGAAGACAATATAACTATGCAGGGTAATAAAATATTGACAATCTTACAAACTGTGTTTGTTGGGGATGAAGTTCAACTACTGTATATGCTTAGTTGCAAACACTAATTTTTAAACATTACAGTAAATTTGATGATTTGATGAAGTACTCACTGGAGATTTCTGGAATTAGGAATCATAGGAATACTTTGGGAACTGATTTATAAACCCCTTCAATTTAGCAACCATAACTTGGCCTGGTAGGTCTGTTCAGCTTTGCATTAAGAGGCTGGGGTGAGGTGTATTTTAGCAAAAACACCAGTGCAAAAGTTGGATTAAATGTTTTTATCAGGTCAAACATATGGTGCAACCATTAGCAATTCCGGCTGAATACAGTAACCAAGGCCAAGAGCACATGTTTGGTTTGTGGGGTACCTACAGCCTTATACCCTCGTTTTTTTTAGCATATCATTTATGTAGCCATCAAGTACATATTTAAGATTGCTTCATTGAGCTAACATTAGCTTAAAAAGCTAGCTAGCCGCAGCTGATCAAGTTTGCCAGCAACAGTTGTCATTTTTAGCCAAATAATGAGTCAGCTTTTGTCTACCTTTGACTGAAAATAACATTTAGTGTTAAATCAGCTGACATTACCACTGTAAAATGCACATGTGCCGTAGGAGAACGGAAAGCTTGTCAGGGTTAGCGACAGTGAGGTGTATGAGTGAACAGTCAATTACAAGAATATCTTGGGAATTCAGCAACGGCCGGCCTCGGTGGATCAACCCTGCCCTCAACATGCAGCATTTTAACCTTTACTTCCACTATATATTTGGAGTGAGAGTCCGAGAGGGTCAGTTTTACACCTCCAAGCCAGTCAGCCCTTCTCTGGCAGTTAACCCCTGTCAGTCAGCTGTCAATCTGAGCCCTGGCGAGTCCTCCGAGACAAAGCTCATATCTCATTTCACACAGATCCATCTTGTGGTCATTGATTTCTCATTCTACGAGTAAGAAATGGATTCTTTTTCCTTCATCACGGAGAGGAGAAGAAGATCCTGGCAGACGGTCGCCAGAAGCCTGATGGAGGCGTCAGTTACATGTAATCTGTTTCAGGACCCTTGGGTTATTTTGTTCACCTTAAATTGAATCAGTGCTTTTTGTCTCTTATCAAAGACTTTCAACAGCAGATAGATACAGATGCACATTGTTCTTCTCTGAGTTTGCATCAAAATGTAAATGAGCTCAATCTGTACTCCAATAACAATCATCGCGTGGTGGCGAGCTCCGGATGACACCTTCATTAGATCTCCTTTTCTCTCCTCCTCCTCCTCACACTTCACAGAGGTATGTTGGGGTGCAAATCAGTGTCTTAGGTAATTAGCTTGGAAGCCTCGGGTGAACATGATGTTGAGATGTGTTGGCTGATTGTTCTGCACTTGCTCCCAGAAAGAAACCATTGATCAATGGAGAAAAACACTTCACTATGCAATAATACTCTTGATAAGAAAGCAGTCTAAAAAAAGCTACACACAAATCTGCACACACAGATACACGCACACTCTTTACACTGTGTTGTCAGATCAGATTCAATTAGTTGCTTTGGTGTTGAGGAGCCAGCTTCCTCCGGACAAGCTCAATTCATAACGAAAGGTCAGACGGTCATAAAGTAGGAGGCTCTAAAGTTTTACAGTACACTATGTTTATATCTTCTTTTTGTTTGTCAGTGCATAAGGTCATATCAGTGTACCTTAATCTGACAAAAATGAGTATGGAGTTTGAAGACACTGGGAGGAAATTAAGACAGACAAGAGACAGAAATACGTTTCTCTTTTAACTTTCTACAGACGTGAATCTCCTTTAATTTCTGGCCAATTTTAATGACAAAAAAAAAAAAAAAAAATTGGCACAAGCCCCAGGCTTTTATATAAGCAGAGTTTAATGTGCAGGCAGTTGTGCTGACAGTGGTCTTATGTGTGAAACTCTTACCTTCCTCTGAAAATATTAATATTAAAATTTAGACAAGATGAAGCAGATCCTGTAGCAGCTGATAAAATCATTAAAAAAAAAAGCATCAAGTCACAGCAAAATGTACCAAGGAGTTCCTCCTAATGTAATAACAAACCTGCTAATCTAGTGAAAATGCAAAAACAAATGGTGCATAAATTGTTGATAGATAAAGATATGTTGTATTTTATAAAAATATTAGAATGCTGTTAGTTAGTGGTTTAATTAGTGCCTGGCTCAAAATAGAGACGTAAACCCTTGAAGCTGCACAATGTTTATGTTCAACCCCTTAATGTAATATGAGACTGTAATAATACAGCGACAGATATCTTCAGTGCTTCCTTCATACTCTTCCCACCTACGTCTTTGCCAGTTCCCCAGCGTGCCACAGTCCCTGCCATGGCTAACCCCTCTGGGACCTTGTGAGGGTGCAGTCATGTGAACTGAACCAAAAAATGCTCCCTCACTGGCTTCCCACCTGAACACTGGCAATGGTGTTTGTCAGAACACCCGGCCAAGGCAGAAGCAACTGCTGCCAAGTACCAACAATTTAACTCGGGTCTTTGCAGTGGTGGGGGAGTGTTTTACCTCTACTTCAGCAACAATATTTAGTGCCAGTATTTCATGCCAACATTTTTAACATTTCTAAATGTGACTGTTTTCTGTGCCAAGATGGACAAGGATTCTGTGTTCCCCTTGTGGGTTTTATTCTTGGCAGGATGGAAAAGCCTCAGAAATAGCATTTGCTTAAACCATAAAGGAACAGTAAAATTACACTGAAACCAATGCAAATTACTTTCTTTAAGGATAAATGAAGCTGGATGATCCAATTCATTCCCATTCAGTCAATGGGGCCATTTAGAAAAAAAGCCACTCCCAGAACAAATTATTGTGAAACCAAATAATAAATACACTATACAAATACAATAAAACTTCAATGCAAGTTTTACACTTTACACAGCCCATGCATGGCTATAGCTACAGGCTAGGCAGCAGAAACAAACTTGACCTATCGTCACCTTTTAAGTTGATATGGTGAATTCTCTTACAGAGCGAGACTATCATTCATCTGGAGAAATATCTGACTCTTTAGCTGCTAAATGCTGCGCTATGTTCACCAGCTAGTCGCTAACTGTGCCTAGCCGCTGTTCAGTGCTGAGCTGAGAATGTGAAACAAGCAGCTCCTTTCACATTAATATTTCATACAGTGCTACTATAACAAATATTCACTATAGCTGCTTTGAATTGCATCATACTGAAGTGTGTCTCCACCTTTCAGCCACTGCAGAAAACATGGTGGATACAAACCCCTGCAAAATCTGGTTGGAGACCCTGTTGAAATCGAGATGACAAAATGAGGACGTGCAAAGTAGTTGGAAAATATACTGATACTGAAGTTATAAACATCTCGTTTAAAGTTTTCCTTTTTACTGTGAAACCCTGAAAAGCCACACTTGTGTACTAAAGTTGTGCCTTTGCCAAATACGTCGGAGTCTCAACAAGCAGAGACAAAAAGGAGAAGAATCTATAGAGTCAGTGTTCCTGGGAGCAGAACCTCAAATCAATCCGGTTCACCGGATCTTCTTTCCAAACTCCTCCGATGCGTTAATTTCCTCCTCTCTCCTTTCTATTTCCCTCCTCTGTGAGAGAGCGGTTTCCATTATGCCACAGGTTCACATTAAAGAGATGGGAACAGGCTGGTACCTGCAATTATCCTTGCTCACCCAGCCGTGGGCCGCGAGGCGCTGAGCAACAGCTGGCTCTCTCCCCATCTCTCTCACTCAAACACACACACACACACACACACATATATATACATGCACCTGCACGCTGCTACCCTCCTCCTCCTCCTCCTTCAGACACTTACCCACCCATTCCTCACATTCACCTGCCAAGCAGCTTGATTAATAAGGCCAACGCTCACAGCCGAAGCAAACCACAGACACAGAGGGGAGGAAGGGAGAGAAGGAAAGAACAAGCGCAGAGTTGGAACAAAGAAGTCAACGCATGCGACCATGCACTATGTAATATATTCATGCATAGGGGGAAAAAAGTGATCAGTTATCCTGTCAGCGTGGAAAAACGTGCACAAACAAATTAAAAGTACAGTCAGAGGGGTGACTGTAAAATATTGTAGTGATTCAAAGATAATAAAAGAAAAAGCAGCCAAAGTCATAATTTATCTCCATGTCCCGCGGCACCTTTCTCTTTCTCTCTATCTGTTTGCCACAGGCCCAATAACACCAGAGCTCAGGTCTTTGATTCTGTCAGGAGCGATGGATCACTTCAAACCACGGAGGCTGCATTCTCGCCGCTGCTCCCTCATCTTCGCAGGAACGCTGACAGGACAAGAGTCGGGACTTCGTGGTGCACTCACCTCTCAAACATACATCCTACTTTTGACACTTTGATAGTCTTAATATGAGGCTTTGGAAATAGATCTGTCTGTAGATGTTAATGGTTTAATTTGACTTTTTCTTTTTCTTTTGGAATTCAGTTTCTACTGTCTGTGATATAAGATACGAGATGAAAGATGGCGTATATACAGAATGGCCAAAAGTTTGTCGACGCTTATGGGCTGGGGTTTCAACAGTAAAATAATAATTTAGGCCAATACCATTTTATATCCTGTATCCTTTTCTCCCAGCCCCTCAGACTGAACCTGGAAACCTCTATTTTAGACAATATTGCGCTTCCAACTTTGTCGTTTGAGGAAGACTCTTCCCTCCTTCAGCTTGATGACGGCATCCTGCACTGAGGTCTGTAAAGAAACAATTGTCCTAGTTTGGTGCAGGAGAAGTTGATCAACCAAAGAAGTCGACAAGCCAAACTCTCGTGGAAAGCCTTCACAGAAGAACCCATGGTTTTTAATCCCATGGTTTTTGGAATGAGATGTTAAACTATGCCATATGGGTGTGAGTAATGACAAACTCCTTTTCTTCCTCAGCTCTGGCAAAAGCACAGAGAGACAGTGATCCAGATCAGAGGGCATGCTACCGAAGTGCTTTGTCAAATCTGGCCCGACTTTCCATCTATTTTCACAACTGCAGTCATAAGCAATCCTGGAGATCTATGAAAACTTATCTTCCTCCCTGCTCTCCTCGCCGCTGCTGAGGCAGCACCTGGATTTAAATGACTCGACTGATGGCCGCAGAGACAGAATTCATTCCTGGACTCTTGTTATGGATGGCGCGACGTCGAAGGGTGAAAAATTACCCAGAGGGCCACTCCGCCCCTGTTCTGTATTACTGTGCATGATGTTTGCTCTGACAGATGTCTGGCAAAAGGAAGAGCAAAGTGCTGAATGTGTCTTTGTCACCAAAGTTAATATCATATCACCAATTTCCACAGGCTATAGATTAACCATCCCCAAATATACCAAGGTCACCAGCAGTATTTTAAACAGTGATTGATTTTTGGGCTCGCTATGGTTGTTCTCAGATTTGCAAATATCTAATTCAATCATCCTTCAAAATGAGTTTTCTTTATGGAAAAATACATAGAAGAATTGGTGTATTAGTTCTAGCTCCAGCTATACTGTAAACTGTCTATGCAAATGAGAGGACACTGACACCACATAAAGGCATATCAGCCTTTAGATAACATCTCTAGTAAATCTCAAGTAAAACAGTTACCTAAGATTCAGTTTCTCTCTCAGGCTGAAGGTTTGTTTCCCTGTTTCTTCCTGGCACCTGGTGATAGCAGGAGTTAACTGGTCATCGTTCCCTCAGGTGTCAGGTTCAGGTGTTTCTGGGATCACGGATGAAGTCAGGAAGGAGGAAACATGGAGCTGAAATCTGAGCCAGTCCCTCTGCACAATGTACAAACATTAACAGGCATTTCACTCATTTTTATTCAGCTGCAGCTTCAATATTAAGACAGTGACATTTAAATTATATTAATTACATTAGGAGTCGTGCTAATGCTGCCGTTCACGCTGAGATTTAGAGTCGAGTGGCTCGACATTTTGGCCAGGCCAGCTGTTTCTGTCACAGCTACACATTTAGCTTAAAGACTTTGAGGGTGCCATCAATCCTCTGATCTGACTCACAGCAAGAACGTGAATAAGCATATTTCCCAAAATGTCAAACTTCTGAATTTATACTGATATTCTGTAGAGAACAAAATAAGACAGGAATTAACAGTCTTTGTTTTAAACACTGGAAAGGTGATTCTTAAAAAAAATAAATAAATAAACCAAGGTAGTTAATGAGTCGGTGGACAATCACAGGACTCTGCAACACCTTTCCTGAATAAAAACAGTTGTAATTTACCAATCAATACATATTACAATAAAAATATGTGGAGATAAAGGGGAACTATACGCTGCCATAGCTCAATGCTTGAGCGTACAGTTAACTTTAAGAACATAATTATCTCCCTGACTGCAGATATTGATTTTAAACTCACACGTTACTGGTTTATTTGCTCTTCTGACTCCCCTTAAAGCAAAACACATAAACTGCTGTTGTTGGTGCTGAAACGCTTCCCACACAGCACAACAGTGGCTGAGCAGACATCCCCATCTAGTGGGCCAGGACTCTGGATAATGATGTTAAGAAATGTTGCATAATCAATAGGCTTTAAATTGAGCTAGAAAACACTTCAGAGCTCCATTACAGTACAATAAAAGTGAATGTGTTCTCCATCCTGCCGGCTCAGCCAGGATCCCGCCTCTTAAATTATGTCAGTTTTATCACCACGCCTGCTTATACCTGGTATTTATTATTTATTTTTATCTTATTTATTCTTTTTCTGTTTGAATTTCTTTCAACTTTTATGCTGTTCAGCAGAATTTTTACATTAATTGAAATTAAATTAGTAATTTAAGGTGGAAATCAACAAAAGCTAAAATGGTTCTACATAACTTTCAAGAAGGAGTCGTGTATCATGCTCTCCACCTCCTCTACCAACACACCATACTCCGCCTGACAGACAGTGTGTGCCCTCCTGCCACTTTCCTTCAGGCATTTCATCACGTCTCTGTGCATCTCTGGTCTGGACGCAGTCGAGCCGAGCATCCTCAGCTGCTCGACCGGATCCTCTGGAATATTGTGGATTTGTAAAGCTTTGAACACAGCGGGAGCAAATTTCCCGTAGTGAGCGGTGGAACAAAGCACCACGGGGCACGAACCGTCCTGCAGCCTGTCGGCCACGACTTTAGCCACGGCCGTGTGTGTGTCCATGACGTAGCCCGTCTGTGCGTGAACGCTCCGGATGGCGCCCAGGCAGTCGTCTTCGGAGCACCAGCCGGCCAGCACTTCCTGCTGTATCCTGCCGAGGAGATGCTCAGGAACCTGAAAGTGCTGCCGTCCGTCCAAGCGCGTGAACAGGTCCTTGACGAGGCGTCCGTCTCCACCTGAGACGTGGTAGATGAACCTCTCCAGGTTGGAGGATTTCAGGATGTCTATAGCCGGGGAGTGGGAGAGCATCAGCGGCCGTCCCCGGAGATCGTACTCACCTGTGGTGATAAAGTCTGTGATGATGCGGTTGTGGTTGGACGCACAGATGACTTTTCTTATCGGGATGCCCATTTGCTTGGCGTACATGGCTGACATGGCGTTGCCAAAGTTACCAGTAGGGATGCAAACATCGATGGGCTCCCCAAACTTGACAACGCCGTCTCTGCACAGATCCAGATAGGCTGAGGAGTGGTAGACCACCTGCAAGAGGAGGAACGTTAACAAAACTTTACTGCAAGACATGACTTTTAAAGTGTAACTGCACTGGTACAAAATGTGTTTCATCTTTCAAATAACAGAAAATAAAAGCACAACAAATGGAAAAACATGTCAGGGCTTACTGGGAAGCTTGAGTAGAGCAGAGACATTGTTAATGTTATTGGTCGTACCTGTGCTTCCCTAGCTATTAGTTAAAGTGTTTGCTGTGGAAAAGCCCTGTTGTGGAAGGAAATCTTTTCGTTGCATCCAACTCAAGCAACATCAACCCACCTGTGGCAACAGCCGTGCCCAGTTGATGGAGTTGGCGGTGCTGAGGACGGTGCCGTACTCCACAGCGAGGTGCCCCGTCAGCCCGGACTCTCCAAACATCCTCTTGATGGTTCTCTGACAGAAGTCAAAGTCTGACAGGACGCTCACGGCCCTGGCTTTTCCCTCCCTGTAGCTGATCATCTGGAGCTTCTGGATCTCACTCACCCCTTCCTCCGGGAAAAACACCAGCACGCCGGTCCTGTGTCTGTCAGTCCCGCCGAGCCTGCTGAAGCCGCTGAGCACTGCGCTGCCGGTGTCTCCGGACGTGGCCACCAGGATGAGGTAGTTGCACATTGGCGGGAGGCAGTAGGCGAAGAGCTGGGGCATCAGCTGCAAAGCGAGGTCTTTAAATGAGGCGGTGGGGCCGTGAAAAAGCTCCTGAACGTACTGGTTGTGATTGAGATGTTTTACAGGTGCAACTGCCTCACAAGAAAAGTTTGAACCATACGCCTTGAACACCATTGTTCTGAGATCCAAAGCACAGATATCCAGCGGGTGGATGCACTTTTCAAGTAAAACTAACGCTCGCTCTGGGTATGACATGTCAGCCAATCTCAGCCATTCACAAGCATCAATCTTTGGGAAGCCATTTTTGGGAACATAGAGGCCTCCATCTGTGGCCAGACCCTCTATAACCACATCACTGAAGTATGTTTTCTGATTGGATGATCCCACAGTGTCACACCTGGTTGACACAAAGGTTTCTGCAGCATGATTTTGATATCTCTCCACAGCCTTTAACACTTTCTCCGCTACTTCCTCCACCGTGTCCCCTGTTCCACACAGCACACGCACATCGAGCCACTTCTCATAAAACTGCTTCCTGTACTGCAGAATATCCCTCATGGATACCCCTGCCTCCTGGCCCACTATCCTGTTCACCTTCATCCTGGTGAGCCTCTGTATGATATCCTCGCTGTCCACGTCCAGGTAGATGACCAGCCCGGTCTCTCTGACGTGCTGCATGGCCTCAGCATGAAGAGGGTTCGAGCCTGTCAGGGAAACAACACACCCAGAGGCAGAGAAGTTACACAAAGCCTGACCTTCCTCCTGTAGAAAACTCTCTCCACCGACTGATGCCAGCTTGGCAGCGACGGGCATCTTCCATGTCGTCTCCAAGACATCGTCATCAACATCAATGACAGGCAGTCCTAGTCTGTGGGCCACTATCCTCCCCACTGTGGTCTTCCCTGCTCCAGGAGGACCCATGAGCAGGATGTTCTTGCCGCCCAGAGCGATGGTTCTGGTGGAAATCCATGATTTTGGTGTTGAAAAGGGACTCAGGTAGCACCTGGCAGCTCTTATTGCAAGCTGACTTACATTCAGTAAACCCATTGAGTCTTATGGCACAGCCCTTTCTTCTGTAAGGAAGAAAATATGGTCAAAGCAGACATTTATATTGCAGATACACTTTCAACAAATGTGTATTATTTACCACGTATTTCAATACAGTGCCTACAGTGGCTGCAATAACTTTGCACGTGTTTTGCAGGCAGTATTAAAAGTGGCCTGTCATCGTAAATGATAGTTTAAATAAGTAAGGCACTCACGTTAAATGGAGGATTCCTGTACATTACCCGATTATGAATGTTTTATGTTGTAAATCGAGTCTGTAGTAACGACATGGTTTGTTTTAACGGATAAAGCACAACTGCAGCACACTCTCTGCAGTCACTACAAACAACTACGGTCAGCCTAGAGGGACAAAATTGATATTTCGGTCATGGCAAGTACGGGAAGCGAAAAAAACACCAGCCTTTTGGTTGCAAAAAAAACCCACCAAACTTTTATTTAATGATTTATTAACTGTACATGCATCAAATGACGTAATTATTTCAAAGCATTTTTTCAAACAAAACACTTTTATAAACATTTTCTATCGCGAACCTCACACTTGGGGTGACCCTTTGCTGCATTCAGGAACATATTAGAACTTCGTAATTTAGTGTTATAAACTTGAAAGTACGAAAATGCTAATTTGGTATCAATTGTTTTTTTACAGAATAAATAAAACGAGTCGTAGCTACATATAGATCGGGTGCTCTAACTCAATCCACGGTCTATCAATTTCATGGAAAACGCGGTCGCAAAATGAAATTTAGTACTTAACAAGCATTAGTGAATGCAACATTTGCCCCCGCAGTTGCCCAGCAACTAGCCGGCAGCGTGTTGTCAAACAAATAACTCTGTCCCAAGGACTTCTAGCTAGTGTTAGCTCGGCCAAGTTGGCTCGTTTAGTCATTAGCTGAACTTAATTAACAGCGGTTTCTTTTTGCTCGAAGTCACTCAACATGTCTGAAGTTGTGCATCCACCCGAAAGCGTCTACAACCTCATACCGAAGGAGGAGGTTCATACTCAGAAACCGCCGATGTACGTTCAAAGCTGTTGCTTGACACGTTAACATTAGCTACACCGGTCAAATTAAGCTAGTTGGTTTAGTTGGTCAGGAAGCTAGTTGGCTGCACCATAAGCTAGTTAATGAGCACTTAAGATGTAGTTAAAAGTCGATATAGAAAATAAGTAACTACAATAATCTATTACACCGATTATACAGTCGAGCAAACGAGTAGTTAAGTAACAGAATGATACTTGCCAACTGTTTTGATAATAGCGAATGAGACCGTTTTCAAGCATATGTAATAGTTTATTGTTGTTGCTTACTTAAGCTTAACTACATTAATCTAACTTATGGTTGAAGGCAGTGCAATTGGCATGTTGGTTAAAGAGGAAAGAAGGGATCCTTTGATTCATTTTATGATTGAATATCTGAAATTATTTTAAAATTAAATGATCTTTCTCCTCTCCTGCCTCTGAAGGTACATGTCCAAGTTTAGACCGACAGTTGTTCTTGAGAAAAAGTCAACCAAGGATGCAATGAGGACGATGGGACCAGCAAAAGTAGAGGTGCCATCCCCAGACAAATACCTCAAGAAGCATTCAAAAGAACCCAAACTGCCTGAAAGTGAGTATTTCCATAGACTATATAACCAATGTGTGGGCGTGCATTTGAGCAATGATTCTGCTATGTATCATCGGAATTTCTTACCTTCATATTTTCATGTTTTCTCAGAAACACAGAGCTCGAAAGAAGTTCGTCACATCTACACTGCGAGAAAACCGGCTGTTCCTGTGAGGACAGACAACCCACCTATGGTCATGCATACCAAGAGAGACTTTATAAAGACAACTACACTGGTTCCAATGAAACCACAGCCGACCTTTGTGGACACCAAGAAGGGACACAAGCAGCGCCTTGAAAATTCAGGACTTGTCCCCAAATACATCAAGAAAAAGGTATTTTCCTACAATAGAACACACAAGAGAAGTTTGAGAAACACAACTTCAGAGACATTGTCAGTTCCAACAGTCAGATGTGTTCACAAATTCACAGCCATGAATGCCAGGAAAACATAATAAGTAGCACATACAAAAACTGAGAATAAATTCCTATTTTCATTGATGAAATGATCCATCTGTGAGGCCTGATTTCATATTTCAATAGATCCACTGTGAACCTATTATTGAGAGTTGCCAGTTTCTGTCGGCAGGATTATGGAGAAGTGCCTGAGTACCTTCTGCAGCGGAGTGAAGAAGAGCAGAGGGCTCAGGAGGAGTATGACAACTTTGTGAAAGAACAGAAGGAGCAGGGAGCCATGAAACACCTGTCTGACGAGGAGCGTCAAGCGGTCGTGGAGGTACCTAAACACATGGCTGCACGGTGGCAATCCTGTCCCTAAAGCAGCAGGGGATCATACAGACATCTGGAACTTCTTGGGGGTTAGGATTAGGGGGTGGGTGGGGGGATTTCATACCTTTGAAGTTTTTAGAAAAGTACTTATTGACCCCCAACAGGTCAGGATGAAATGTTTTCGGTCGGACCATTATGGCTGCAGCAGCAAAATTAGGGGTGTTAAATTACCTCTGAGAATGCTTGAATCCTGATATATACTGTATATATTATCAAAATGACTTTACCGTGACACTGATCGGCTTCCCTCTCTGGGTCCACTATCCAGGGCCTGAAGAAGAGCTGGGATGAGGTGCACCATGAGTACCAGGGCCTCTCGCTCGTCATCGACACCTTGTCAAAGAAAGCCCACAAGGAGCGGCTCGAAGTGGCGATGAAGCAGCTGGAGAACGACATTAACCTCTTCGAGAGGTTCAAAAGCATCTACATACCCATTACTAGGACATAAAAAACACTCTCAGGGATTTACTTTAAGGAATATTAAAATTTAAGCATCAGAAAAGGCCAAACTATTATTCTTTCTGTCTTGCATCCTGTTTTCCTGCCTTGCAAATGTGTTGAATCAGAGAACTTCTTTGCAAAAAGCTGGAAGTAAAGGCTTGAAATCTTGAGAATCCTTTAAAATCAATTTCATTCTGACTGAATAAAAAATTCACAGCATAGAAATTGTGTCACATATTTGTTGTTAAGTTGTTTCATTCTCCCTCAGCGGCTTGTGATGGGGCCACATGCCAACATAGCATCACATGAAGCTGATTATCCCTGTAATTCTCCGCCACTAAAACAACGCTGTCCTTTTTACGCAAATGACTTGAGCATGATCCCACAGGCCATGTGGCTGACCAGGACTTATGTGGATGAGTTCCTGTTTTTTCCACTTTTGTTTAGTGAATGGTCGCTGGAAAGACGGCAACAAAACGGTAAGAAATGCTTTGACACTAAGATTAAGACTAAGATTAGAAATGTCGTGCAGCAGGTTGTTCTAGTTCAGCTGTAGACGGAATTTATTTATTTACTTCTTCCTCATTTTTAGATCCAGTTTATGTCCCATAATTTTTCTGTGTATTCCACTGAAGGTCACTGATACCTGTTTCCTATCCTAATCCTTTGCCTGAGCGGCGTCTTCACCTTGGCAGCGCCACTACAGATGGACAACACAGGGATGAAAGGAGGAATTGTGGTACGTTCAACACAAAGCTCAGTTCATCAAAATATCCAGTGTTAAATTCAGATATCTAAGTCATGGCTTTATATTTTGTGCCATAGTCCGATATTATTTGTTCAGCTGTTATAGTTGTTGTAAGACGGCAACATATTTGCTGTTGTTTGATATTGTAGTACATTTTCTGTTAGTTCCTTTTTAAATCAGAATTTGAAGATGTAGCTTAACTTGGTTGTCAACTGCTTTACATTTTAGTTTTCAAGATTTCCAGGTTTTAGGATGTTAGAGTGCAACTATAAGACTTTTCTTACAACAAAATTTACAAAATGATATAAAGAACAGTATCCATGATTTATTTTTCTGTTAGACCTTAGAAGTTCACAAACATCTTAAAAAGGTACTTACTTTAAAAAAAAAAAAAAAACTTGACTGTTCCCTGTCAAATATCACATGTCTGAGTAGTAGCACCTCCACGCCTAACAGTGAGTTGTGTGTCTTAGATAAAAGATGACTGGCCAGGTTACAGTCTGGACCTGTTCACCTACCCAGAACACTACCACGAAGACATAGAGAGTGTTTACATTCCCCATGGTGTCATCATGAACAGGTAAAACACACACGTAAACACACACAGCAGAGTGAGTTCTTAATCATTTTCCAGTCATTTGTGTTTGCCCTGGTGTGATTTTCTCCTGCAGGATAGAGCGTCTGGCGAGCTACATCATGGACGACTTTGAGGACAACAATATAATGGTGCTGTGCGTCCTGAAGGGCGGCTACAAGTTCTGCGTAGATCTGGTGGAGTTCATCAAAGTTCTTGGCCGCAACTCCAACAAGTACCTGGAGACGCGGGTGGAGTTCATCCGTCTGAAGAGCTACCTGGTGGGTGAACTGCATAAAATCTTTTTTTTATTTAGCCTAAATAAAACATCACAAACTTTCCTCAGATGGCTTCACAACCTGTAGAGCAAACAACACCTATATGCTTAAATACAGGGGTTTATTTTTTGGGCATTTTATAGATGAAATGAATGACAGGTTAATTGATAATCAAAATAATGCTCACTTACAGCCCTAACTTCATGCACCAAAGACACTTAAACATCCCTTATGTAACTCAGGGATGGAGCTGACTTTCGGCTCGGCCACCAGATGTCACTCTTGTTTCTGTTTAGTGAGGAAGCGGCACAGTCAGGCAGGACACCTCAAGGACGATTGATCGTGGAGCAACTGCAGAGCTCATGTTCATGAAAACACCAGATTGGTAATTGGTGCTTTTGTTTCTGTCAAGAAGAACAGATAATGACACTGTCTAACACCTGGAATGTATAAACTGAGGCATTTTCTGTTAATGTTTGCAGTGACATCATTTTGCATTTGTCACCACCGTCACTCGTTATTCAGGGATGTATTTTGGCGCAGAGCAAATCCAAAAGGATCTGATTTATATTTTTCTGCGTGTGTCGTCAGTCCCGCTCTCCTCTCACAGCACACAGCATACATTCAAATAGAGATAGTTTATTTCCTTCCTGGGTCATACTGAAGTCATACTGTAATGTCACGTGTTTTCTTAATAAGAAAGTAAAAAGCTTGAGATTTTACTTTCCAACATGGCTACATGAGGGTAATTCAAATACTGAACAAAATTTACTTCAGTACAACTTGATTTATCTGTGTAGGGGCACATTTATGCAGCAGCCCACCCCCCAGATCAACAGATACAAACACACAGAAGAAGAAAGGGGAAAAAAACACTGTTAAACACAAAACTGGAAACAATCAAAGGTAAACTATATTTGGAAGTAGTCATTAGAACATTGATAAATACATGAAAATATAAAAAAAAAACACATATTCTAAAAAATATCAAAAATAATAAAGAAATACAAAAGCATAACAACATTAAAACAAAAGCAAATCCTCATAATTACATCAGCAAACAACATGGCAGCAAGCAACAGCTGCCATTACTACAGTGGAGGACGGTGTCTGAGTGATGACACTGTTAGTCAATCTCACAGGTCATGATGGAGTCATGTGACCTGCCCCCAGGGCCCGGGATCTCGTCCATGTCACTGTTCCTCTTCATCCAAGTGATGCATCTGTAGCCAAGTGAATCCAACTTCAAAGCTGTCGCTCTTCAAAGCTTTGCTTCCTGCAGGGACAGACTGGGCCTGGTTCTGGTTATGTTAAGGATAATATTTTAAATTCATAGTCACCCTTTGTGCACTTGTCTTCCGTTAATGCTTTCTCGAAAGTTGTACAGTAAATCCAGTAAATCCAGTAACTTAAGTTGGCTGAAAAGCAACCGTGCAGTAAAAAAAAAGTACAAAGTTCACAACATCTCCGTATGATTTTATTGAGTATAATTGCATCATATGCCACATTTTTACGTTCTTGTCTTCTTCTTCTTCCCAGAATGACCACTCAACAGAGGACCTGCACATAATAGGAAGCAGGGATCTGTCTATTCTGCGTGGAAAGGTGTGTGTGGAAAGTTTGTCTCTTATCTTGTAGGGGTCAGTATTCATTCATTGTCAGGTTTAGTAAAGAGAAACTACCTTGTCCTCAAGAGGGAGCCGTCAGTCAAACTGTCAGGAGGTGAACACAGGATACGCCTAATCTGAGGTTTTACACAAGAATACATAGAGTTTATAGTTAATACAAGCACGGACAGTTACATTTTTGTGTACTTATATAATATGCAACTGTGTTACAAATATGTTTTTACTGCCCCAAACTTGCCCTCAGACCAGAACACACCCCTGCGCTTCAACTCTTGAAGCTTTCTCCTCACAATCATCCTCTTTGTGCACATCTCATGAGCAGCACTTTGTTAAAGCGGTTTGCCCTTCACCAGCCTGGCCATGAATCAGACATTTCAGGCAAACAAATGTTCCCACAAGGCAGATTTACTGACTGTTCATCCCTGTTGAGCTCTGGCAGGGAGGAGTGGGGAATCTGTAGAGAGGACACAGGCTGCGGCATCATGAGGAATTATCCCTCCTCGCTACATCATTCTCTGAGATGGACAGAGACTTCACTTACTCAGCTAATATGCCCACACGCATTTGCTTAAAAAAAAAGAAAAGGCTGATATTGAGTTGTCTTAACTGAGCTGTCACTTTGACTTGTTAGCTAAGATGCATTTCCGCTGCGGGTAAAAAGGTCAGCGGGAAAAAAAACAGAGAGGCTGACAGGCACCTTGCACAGAAAACATGAATCACTCCACTTCGTCTGCATCACTCCACGCTCTAGTTACAGTCTCTCACTTTGATGGAAATATTACACACAAACCTCCCACGAAGTCTCATATATTATCTAAAAAAACCAATTATTAGTCATCAGTCTTTGTAAGCCTGATACAGAAATGTTGCTGGTAGATTAGGAGTGTGGTGCTATTGATACCTCCATTAAAACGTATTAATCAGCACCATAATAATGGCAACGTAATGACAGCATAGAAGAAGTAAATGTTAAGTTGAAGACTGGGGTGGCATGAGCAGGCTCTCTGGTTTCCCAGGAGTTATTATGGAAACCTGAGTAGTTTTAAGTCATAAATGTAGAACAGTGTGTGAACTGAAGAAGGAACTAGAGGCATTGACACATGGGTGAACGACCAGTTCCTACTTAGAAAAGAAAACAACTTTATGTTCATAAAGCTTTAAGCCATTTTTAGACATGCTAGCAGCGTAGCTCAAGGGATAGCAATGTCGGTGAGTCAGCCGTGAAGTTTTTAACACACATTCATGCTCCCCAGAGGTTGCATCATATTGACTTTGATGATCCACTGATCTTCCATGTAGCTGCATCATTTGTTCAATATGATTAAATACTTGCAAAACGAATTACGTTCATCTGTACTTGTGTGTTTAGCATTTGTTAGCAAGCTAGCACACTAAACTAGGATGGTGGACATGTTAGACATTGTTCCTGCTAAACATCAGCAGGTTAGCATTGAGCATGTTAGCCTACTGGCATTAGCAGTTACCTCAAAGCAGCCTCACAGAGCTGCTAATGTGGCTGTAGCCACTCAGTCTTGGCACTAAGTCTTAATACTATCTTACCTGGCACCATGACAGATTAGTAGAGAAGTTTTTCAATTTTTCATAATAAACTATAAAATCCCAAACAGTTATGCTATACAGATTCAAATAATTGCCAGTGCACAGTTGTTGTCCAGCTGGCTGAACGGTATGTTTACATTTTGTAGCATGCAGCAAGACAGGTTAGTTATGTTTTCCTCTGTCTACTCTCTCTGAGTGTTATGTAACAGCGTACAGGTGTGGACCGGGAGCATTGGCCGGGTGCCTGCATTCTCTCCGATCGCTCTCCCCAAACCATAGATACTCTCCACTGGCCTCACAAAGAGCCCCACACACCCAGCCAACAGGAACAAGGAGCCATTTGAAACCGTGCAGCAGGGAAAGTGTGCAACACCCGGACACTTAGAAGTGCCTTTTACTCACTGTAGACACAGATGTTCGTTACTGTGGAGGTCAAATGAGTCGTCTGTGCTTTTGTTAAGGCATTGAAAATACTGCCAACATTGTTGCTATAGGTACCATCTCTAAGAAATGTAAATTTCACAGAAACAACCCGACCTTTATTGTCACTCTGCCTGAACAGTGTTAAAATTCAAAAGGTGATGTTTTTCTAATGTGTTTTTCTGTTTTTCTTTTTACATGTTACCAAGTGTGTCCTCATTGTTGAGGTGAGTGTCAGGTGCAAACAATCTTTCTCCCATCTGCTCTGACTTGCAGTCCAGTTTCTCTTTTTAGAATAAATTAATTCTATCAAGCATGCCCTTCAAATTTCCACCTTGTTTGATGCCTTTGACATGTTTCGTTTGAACTTCTTTTAGTTCTTTAGAAAATTAAGAAGCCATTGTGCTTGTAAGAGCCACGTCTCCTTTGCTTCTGGTCTACAAAAGGACAAAAGGAACAAAGTGTTTTGTCTTTGAGATCATGTTTCACTTGTAAAAGTTGAACACATAAGCACACTATCACAAGGACTGTTTACCCATAAGAAGATGCTGTCAAATCTTCAAATGCAAAAAAACTAAAATCATGCCAGTATTTACTTCAACAATTGTAGACAGTTTAGAAGAACCGCTCCAGTGTCGTATCATCTCTGAAAACAAACAAATAAATTTAATCCTCATGTCATGGAAAATTTTCCGTGTTACTTCTTATAAAAAGTGGAAATTTCCTCTGTTTATAGAAAAGCAACAATAGACATGAGACAAAAATGATTCAGCAGATGTAAGAGTGCGTGCAGGAGATGCACTCATTCATTTCTCATTAATACATTAAACATATTTACTCAAAGGGGGAAATATTTGATGGAAAACTTTAGAAAAAGAAATATCTCAGTGTAATTTTCCTCCTCTTTGAAAGTGTTCTGCACTCAAATGTCCCACATCCCTCCCTCTTCATCATCTCTCCCCTTTTCCTTTGCTCTTCCCCTCCCTAAGGCCATAGTTGACACAGGAAAGACCATGAAGGCCCTTCTGAAGCATGTGGAGACCTTTGAACCCAAGATGGTCAAGGTGGCAGGGTGAGCCAGTCATTCAATCATCTGTGTTTTTCCCCACCGGTGGAAATGCCAAGCGTGTGACGAACACTAGAAGAAGAAGATATCGCTGGCCCACAGTCGCTATCTGGTGTCCGTGGGCAGTTCCTCTGGCGCTCCTGCGATCACAGACACCAGATAAACATCTTTCCTCACACATGGCTTGCGTTGAAAGTTATTTCCTCTTTTACTGTGTATGTAACTCTGTCCAAGTGTTAGCAGTTTCTTCTTCGGATGGGGATGCCTTTTTTTTTTTTTTTTTTCAAATTAAAATAAACAGAAAGTTACTGTAATAAATAAACTTTTCGTTTTAACATGTGTTTTAGTCTGCTGGTGAAGAGGGTCCCTAACATGGCTGAACGTCTGACAGACTGTGAGTATTCCTGATATTAATACCACATATTCCTTTTTTAAAGTACAAGTGTCTTTCACTGTAGGCCTACTGTGATTGCTTTGTCAGTAACAGTGAATCATGTGTTTTTGTGATGTTACTCAAAGCTCAAGTGGTTTTCTTAGCAAGTATGGTTGCGCACAAACTTTCATCATTAAAGGAGCTATTTATGAATTTTGCTATTGCAACATAGCCAGCGTTAGCATTAACAGCTGTTTACTATCGCATCTTTTCTTCTACTGAAGCTAGCATGCTAACCAGCTAGCGACTCACTGTAGCTTCCGATCTGCAGTGAAGACGCAGCGCTGCTCAGAGGGCTTATTATAACCTGTTGTGTTATAAAGCCAACGACAGCTGAAGCTTTTGTCAAGCAATAGCCTCTTTAAGTTTGTTTTCTTGAAACTAAATCTGTAGATTACTTGTCCCACCACAGTTAGACAAAAGTCTAGAAACTGGATAGACTTATGAACCATTGTATAAAGCTGGAGTGTAAATACAAAGATAGTTCCATCAGTGTAACTACTACATGTTCAACATTTCTAAAGCAGATGTATATTATTGAAGTAGAGTTGTTGCAGGCAGCTATGACAGAGAAAATCTATAAATGAACTGACCACTGATAATCCATAGAGAAATACTGGATTTATCATGTTACTTATTCAGATCCTCGTCTGTGTTTGTTCTGATAGATGTTGGATTTGAAATCCCCAACCGCTTCGTTGTCGGCTATGCCCTGGACTACAATGAATACTTCCGTGACCTGAATGTAAGTGAGTGAGTCCGCTGACTCCGCTGCACACCGCACGTGACCTTTTGAAAAGCTAAGAGAAAGGGATGAAAGAGACGGGGGGGGGGGGAAACACAGCAAATCAAAGAGATGCACTCCTCTGCCCTGAAACCTAAACTCACCCAATAGGTGTCCTCCCTGCCTGAGGAGACTTTACATGTAGGAAAAGCAGCTCAGATCTGTTCAGCTGGTTTCTGTTTGTATGTGTGCAAGGTGTTTACTCATAACACTGTCATTCAAAGCAGTACTCAGTGTTGTGTTGATTTCTGTCAAGAACTTCAAGTGCTTGTCACTTTTTCTCACAATATCAGCCCAATAATAAACCAGTGACCTACACTGGGTGTTTTGACCCATGTAGTGTGTAATAATGGAAGACAACCCATATCGGCACCCAGGATGTCTCACAAGGCTGCGGTGGAGGACTAGCACATCAAGATTTTTAGCCATGCTAGCAGCTAGCAGCTCAAGACTGAAATATCTCATGAACTCTTAAATGGATGGACATGAAATCTTTTGGAGGCATTCCTGGTCCCGAGAGGATGAAACCTAATGACTTCAGTGATACCTTGACTTTTCCTTCCTTTTTTAGTGCTACCATAACATTGATAAATTAAGATGGTGAACATGGTTAACATTTAACCTACCTAACATCAGCATGTTAGCATTATCATTGTGAGTATGTTAGCATGCATATGTTAGCATTTAGCTAAAAGCACTTCTTTGCCCAGGTATGGTATCACACAGCTACTAGCATGGATGTAGACTCTGGTCTTGTTTCGCCTCCTCCTACCTCATTTGGTGATATCTACCACAAAATCCATGATGCCACGGTTGTTAGTTGCTGGTTGACATTCCCAGAAGTCTCTCTCTGGCCCTTATCTCCTGATCACTTTTGCACAATAATTAGGTTGTGGAAAAACTGCAAGCTATGAATGTCAGGGTTCAAAGTGTCATCAGCATTTCTAACATTTTTCTTGGCCATGTTACCATAGGAATTATAGGCATCTGACATAGTAAATAATGTCGTAGTCCGGCATAAACAAAACAACTTCCACTACTATAGACTGTCTCTCACTTTTACTCCTTTTTGGCCTTTCAGTTATTTTTCTTCTGACTGCTTTCATTGGTCCTTTAAACAATCTCACTCCTCTACAAGCTTCAGGTCAGGCGTGCAACCTTTCCTCTGTTTTTCCTCGCCGCACCCCTGACAGTTCATTTCAAGCCATATTTCTATCAGTCTGAAATTAGTAAATGCAAACCTATGTGAACTCTGCCATTTTTATATCTGCAGAGGCGTGACCTCAAATTTACCTCTGACTCATGTGAAACACTAAGCCTACACTGACTCCCATAGCTGTGTGTGTCTGTGTGTGTGTGTGTATTCACATGGGTGTGTGTGCTGCACAGACTGTATGTACTGTATGATTGTGTGTGTCTCCTGTGCATGTTTGAGGGGGGTGGTATTCATTAGGAAAGTTTGAAGGAGTGTGACCTGTGGAATGTAGAGGTTAGGATCTCATTATCAGGCAGAGCTAAAGCTTCCCTTCTTATCTGTCCTCATTCTACAGAAGAAATATGAGTTGAACCCCTGGTACACCCAAAGTTAGATTAATGACTGCGTCATATTTTTGTAATTTACCTTTCTCTGCTTTCAAATTGTTGCATGCTTCATCTTTTCATACTGTATGCGGCATGTTAAAGCTCTCACAACATGCCGAGATTTCCCAAAGGACAGGGTGACCCTAAACGCATATTTTGCCATCATCATGTGCAACATTTTTAGACAAGATTGATCCATAATGTAATATAGATTTAACGTTAGATAACACAAGCTAATTTTTCTTTCTCCCGCCTCCTTTTCTTTCAGCATATCTGTGTTATCAGCAAGACTGGAAAGATGAAGTACAAGGTGTGAGGGGCATTAAAACCATAATTTATGTCCAGTTTGTGTGCCATCTTCAGCAGCAAGCAAAGGTTCACTTTACTCTCCCATGTCTTTATTCTCCCAACGCTTCAGCGTTAATTTTTTTTTTATCTCAAAGCAGCCAATCCAAATTTTTGGAGGGACTCTTGAATTAAAAAAAAACAAATATTTCATGAGGTGTAATTGTTGCCTCATCACCCGTTTTTGTTTATCGGCGAGATGCACACAAACAAAGAAATTGATAAATGGGAGAAAGAAGCGCTTCCCACCAGGAGAGGACGTTGGTGACAGATGGAGAGAGCTTATGGACGCTGGCATCCTCGTGCCTGGATGACGCCCACTCTGACTCATGGAAAACACACAGTGGGTGCAGCAGGCTGGCGCGAAACAGAGTCTCCGCACCACACTGTATCTGTTTGTTTCCAACTGTAAACAGACCTTACTGGAATAATACATAATATAATAATACATAATACATGAGATTAATATGGCAAAACCATCATTTGTCATATATAACATAATATTTTATACACTAAAAACACACATCTGAACTTGTATTTGTTTATTTTATATTAAATGTTGAACTTTTTTTCTTTTTTTTTTTTTTTACATTTACTGAGCCTCTACAAGTCCCTGCAGCTCTAGATATGCAGACAAATTCCCTGTGCAGGAATATGTATGTGCAGAGTTTGACAGTAGAAAGCTGTTTTCACATTCATCTGCTGAAGGAGGAACGTTTCTCTGTGATCACCTGGAGTTTGAGAAGTGTACGTACGCACATGGTTTTGTGACGTCACAACTAGTTTGGGTCAATCATGGTCCAAATGATTTTTAGTAGATATCTATATCTGTGTTCTGTCTGGAGGAAGTCTATAATGGAAGCTAAACTTTTGAAATGTCAATTTTTTTTTAAAACCCATTATTTCTTTCATCGAACATTCCTCAATTCCTATTGAAAAATAATTTCTTCATTCCACTGAATCGCAGATAAACAAACATTAAGGATTTTGTGTTTTTACAAGGTTTATAGTCCTGCAATTAAACTCTGAGCCCTTGATCTCTGGGGGAGACAGCTCAGTGTAACGGCTATAGAAATCAAAATACCTGCACACTCAGTGCTCTGAACTACAAACATACGAGAGACACACACTCACTGAGGTATTTTCTGTGTTCTGTTGCCATTGTTGGGGTGACTAACAGAGTCAATTGCGCATGTCGACAGACAGACCAGATCATACTTCACTGCACACGGTGTGTACTCGGCGAGTGTTATCATGTGGCTACGCACTCTTTAGTCTTAATCACCTGAAACTCCAAACAGCCGGCACATCACACAACAGGCTTTCATGTACAGAACGAGGCATTATTCTAGCAGTGTAAAGAATTTAGGTGATTTGTGATTACCATAGGATTACAGCACCTCCACTAAAATATGGTGAAATAATTAGAATCTGTTGTGTTTACTCTGGGAAGAAGTGTCACTTAACCCGTGCACCCTTCACTGCTCCATGTAAAGACCACCAAGGTCCACAGAGACTAAAGGCGTTAAGTGAAGGGTCATATATTATCACCACGCTTGTTCCATATGTTTTTGTGTGAATCAAAAGTCAAACTATACCGTGTGTGTGGCTTTTCCTCCTCACTTTTTTTACAAACACGTTTCTAAGCCAAAAAGTAATGGTCCAGCTCCAGCTCTCCAAGTTAAATGACCTGATAAATGAGTTGCTGTGTGGATAATACGAGTGAGTGCAAACAAAAGAGAGTTCTGGGAGGTTTGGAGCACTCTGTTTCCATGTTGTGCTCTCAAAATGCTCTCAGGTTTCACAAATGAAGTGGTAAACAACACCTTCCCTACTACAGTCAGAAGAGCCCTAAATGCAGGCAGGTTTTATCACTTGTCCTTGACCCCTAAGGTGCAGAGGAGTGAGATAAGGAAGACGAAAAGAAGCTCAAACAAAATTACACAGCTTTTTGGTTGTGTGCTATCCGTGCATCTGGAGCCACAAAGACCCCCATTGTACCTCTGGCCGCAGCCCCATGTGTCCTTATCATAAAAAATCAGCACTTGGCAGTAGTGGTTAACTTATCCCAGCACTAATGCCCCCCGCACTGCCCTGGGAACCTGGAGGCCATTGTCTTTCACCTTGATGTTGGGTTTGTTGAAAGCAAGACGGGACAAAAAGCCTTGCAGGTTTCACATGCTGCGGCTTTTGTCGTGGCCCGTCAAGGGAACAGAGGATGGGGCCGACCGCAGAAAGTAGGCTACAGGTAAACTGCGCTCAGAACAAAAGGAACAAAACGGGAATTGTACATCTGAATGGCCACACATCCATGCGTTTGACATATGAAGCCTGTGGTTAGAGACGGAGCCGTAGGATTTGATTTCACCAGCTCAACAGATAGAGCATAATCATTCCAGAAACCAATAATTTTGTGGTCCCCCCTTCACTGTCTTAACTGATAAGATTGATACCAATAGTGCATACAGTGAATATGCTGTGGCTAGCAGCTGGTTAGCTTAGCTTGGCACAAGCAAGGAAGCTGGAAACTAAGAAATATCTAGCCTGGCTGAAAGAAAATAAAAAATAATCCACCTACAGCAGCTCTGAAGCTCACTAATTACCACAGGTATCTCATTTGTTTAACCCATACAAAAACCAAACCATAAAAATGACAAATTGTGGTTTTTAAAAGGGTTACGTGTAGGACTATTTCTTCGCTGGGTGCAGTGACCTCCTGGACTCTTACATATTAGTTTTTGTATGTCTTAAACAAACAAGACACATGTATAGGGTGTTAATTAGTGAGCTTTAGAGGTGCTGATTGGTGTAATTTTCCACCTTTAATCAAAGCCAGGCTAGCTGTTTCCTCCTGCTACCAGTGTTTGTGCTAAGCTAAGCTAACCATCTCCTAGCTTACAGCTTGTAGCCTATTTGTGTATTTCCCAAAAATAATGTCAAACTATTACTTTGAAGTTAGACAACTTCAGTGTCCTTCGGTATGTGTGCTTCTGCTGCATTTAAGATGAATAGACCAGACTTCATTTAAAATCTAGGTCATTTATTTGATCAGAAGTTTTAGCCACGCTAAAAGATTACAGTCTTCGTTCCCACTTTGGAACTTAATGAATACTGCTTCACTGACGCATCTTGGTTCACAAATAGAAAGAACATCCTCCCCAGCGTTCATTGTGTTCCAATTAGGGACTGGCTGGCCAGAGGGCTTGATAGATTGACTGCTGCTGGGTTTCATCCAGTCATCAAACTCGGTGCCAGATCCACTTACACAACCTGGAGTGGGGAGTGATCTTCATCCTCTTAAACTCTCAAACTCAACTAGAGCTTAAACAAATCCTTAATGAATGAAATTATATATGTTGAGTTTAATGACGGTAGCCTTGCCTGATGAGTGTTTGTGCATGAAGGGTTGTTGTAAACCGGTTTCCACAAACATAGCATGCTGTGCTGCAGAGTCATTTCCACCTGTCCTAATCGTAACGCTGCTGGGCTTTGAACTTGGACTTCATGTGATGTCCTAATCCAGCCAAACATTTTGCTGCCACGAGAGAGCTCGTAATCTCTCTTCTGCTAAATGTTTGAGTCACTCTGATTCTGCAGCTACACATTTGGTTTAAAGGAAATAGGAGCCAGTGTTCATACCGATCTTTTAATACAACTTTAAACAGAAACTACAACCATGCTTTAGTGAACAGTGAACCATACAAGGCAGCACAACAACACATACAACTACACAATAGACAAACATACAGTCATTACAGTAGACTACAAACTGACAACAACACCTCATTGATCTGAACTCCTCTGTCCTCACTTTGCCATTCATAAAAACAACACTGCACTGCATGCACGCCTGAAGCTCCAACAGTGCTGTGCACACAGGAGAGTGTACTGATGGAGTGGGCCAAGTCCTTATTTTGGGAAAGTACCACAGAAACAGAAACCAGTAAAACTGTTTTATGGTTTTCTTGTGAATTTTTATACACACGTGTAATCCATAGAGTTACAGATTGTGGTGTTGTTTGTGTGGGAAAACAGAAATACTTCATTCCTCTCACTGCCTGCTGAGTTTAGTCTCTAATGCACAATTGAACTTTATGTCAAATCAATACAATCCTCTCTCTGCATTAATAATGTGCTACGGGTTTCATAAACAAATTGCATTAAATGAAGAATACGGACCTCATGTTTACCATCACATAATGCGAGAGTCCCACTTACATCAGTTTAAGTTGTCCATTGTCTGGACGAGGGTGCACCAGATCTTTAGACAATAGCTCTTCTCTGAAACCAGGGAAACCTCGCCACAGTATGGGTCAAAAGAGTCCTATTGTCCTATCTTCTATTGTGCCGCTGGAGTAGCCTGCAAACAGAACACTGTCAGCCTTTGTCTTTGTCCGGATCAGCTGTGCAGCGCTTTTTTTTTTTTTTTCATGCTCTGTGGAGTCCCATGTGGCTGCCATGCCCTACATGTCACCATAATAAAGTTAAGGACACTGCTGTTACAGTTGATAATGGATAGACAAATATGTTTCACCAGTTGAACGTTAGGAAATTGGAGAGCTCAGCATATGTGTGGGCCTCAGGGTTTTTTTCCCTGCCGTTTACAATGATGTCCCTGTGATTGCATTTGCTCACTTTAAACGGTCTGAAAGGCTTAATGTCAAAGTGTGGAAATTAAGTGTTTGTCAGCTAATGGCTAGCTGTTTATTTAAATGTATTGTGTGAGTGTGTAGTGTCACTGAATACCAATCATGTTCCATTAGTGCTGGAAGTATTCAGATCGTTTACTTAAAAGTAGCAACACCACCATGTAAATATACTCTCCTACAAGTAAAAAATCTTACTTATATGCTTATTATTAGTATAGTATCAAGTACACAGAAATGTACAGTGTTTCTCTCACAAACATAGTGGAGTAGACGCATAAAATAACTAAAATAAAACGGTAAATAAAACCGTAACTCTAATGTGATATGAACTACGCAAAAACATGACAAACATTCAACAGGGTTCGGGAAAAGTAGTCAGATTTTTAATTTTAGTAATTCACAAATACTCCTTTACAAATAAAAGTCCTGCATCCAAAATTCAAGTATCAAGAGTAAAGTTACTCATTTTGCAGAATTGTTGCTTTTAGAGGTTTATATTGTCATAAATATTGTTTTTGACGATATGAAATATCATTGGCTTATTATTAAGTAAAAAACATTTTTATTGGTCCAACCGGGCCGGCTGTAATTTTAACTACTTTAAATAGTGTTATATTTTTGTCGCATATTTTATAAGATGGTGATATGCTTTGTGTGAAAATGTTATATCTGTAAATATTCTAGTAACTGTGGCTCTTAAATACATGTAGTGGAGTAAAAATTAATATATGTAATAATTTGTCATCAATTAAGTAAAAGAACAAGTTTCTCAAATTTTATTTAATTCAGAAATGGAGTAAATGTACTAAGTTACTTTCCACCATTGCTCTCAACTAGATACAACATAAAATACTAGGT